TTCCAGATGCTCAAACTGGCCGCGGTGCAGGCGCGGATGCTGGAGGCGAGCTGTGGAATCCCCGAGCCAGCGTGCATGAGGCCATCGGCGTGCGCGAGCCCTTCTATTTGCCGTATGAGGGCAGCTGGGGCAACTGGCGGGGCCTCGCCGAGAGCACGCACTAAAGCATGCTATTGTGGGCCCACGTGAGGGTGCGCCCGCCAGTCTGCCGCGGCCGTTGCGTCCAACTGGCCCGCAGCCGCATGCAAAAGGGGCACGTAAAGCCAGGAATGGCCACCGGGTCCGGGGTCCGCAACCGGCGGGCCCAGCGTTTGCCACCTCAACGGCGCTGGCAGATCAACTGGTGTGTAGCCTGGCGTGGCCGGTTCCATCATCGTGGGGGCGGTGTCCCCCGACCTGTGCGGGAACGCGCCGCGCTCGCCGCACTGTTCTCTGGGAGACCCAGGTGGAGACGCGAAAGGGGGTGACAGCACTGAGCGTGTCGGAAACAATTTCAACATCCGCCTGTCGTGCCAAGGGAGTGGCGTTGCCTGCCGCCAGGCCGCACCCGTTCAACGCCACCATCGCCCGGGCACGCTGTTGTGCGAGCCTCGAAGCGAGCTCGCCGCTCGAGTTCGGCGGGCCGGGGTGGCTTGCCTCTCCGATGCGCGAACCACGGTGCGGGTGCGGCGTCCAGGGGCGCAGGCACGCTGGCAGGCGTCCACCAGGGTCGCTGGTTGTTGTAAGCACGTGCCATGGAGCCATTACTGGCCCCGCCTCGGCCCGTTTGCCGCTGCCTTTTACCCTTTCAAGAAGGACTAAATTTCATCCTGGAAACCGCACGAGAGCCTTTAGAAAGTGTTCTTTAGCAAGGGGAGGCGACTATCAAGGCAGAGCCACCTGCGGAAGAAGATGCAGAAGGCTCCTCTGGCCTTCAACAACAACACACACATGGCTTGCATTTGGCAAGCCAGCATAGCATAAAAAAAATGTGCATTAACGCGTCAGGAGACTTGTGCACAAAACACATTGCTCTGTCATGTCCTTGTGCACCCAACTGTGCCTCAGACTACAGAAAGACTATGACAAGCAGCAGCGCAAATCATAAAAACTGACCAGCGGCACAACGTTTGGGCCAAAGTTTGGGCCAATCGCAGCGCCTGCAACAAGCCGGACATGCCAGCAGCCGAACTCAGAAACGGACATGTGAGTGCGGGAGCACATCTCTTGCAGAGAAAGACCATGCACAGTAGGGTTGGCACTTATCGGTGATGTGAAATGTAAGGAGTATCGGTTGAGGGCTGGCCCCAATCAGTTTTCGCTAAACAACTACGGCGCAACTCTCGTCACCAACCTAAACATGTGGCCTCTTCCAGGGTACACCACGCAACGAGTAACATCTGGATTTGTGATTTTTACACAAACTCCACCAACTACACACGCTCTAAGGCAGCCTTTCCGCGTCAAGCTGGTGGCTCAGGAGGCTTCTGCACTTTGGGATACAGGGCATAAACATGGAGGATTATGACAATGCAGAGGACGGACACAACCTTTTTGCGTCTAGTATCGCCCCGTAACGTCTCCAGTATATCAATGGACAAAACAATAGCTTGACACCTGCGTTCAGCCGCTTTGCCGTGTGGTGATGGCGTTGTGGAGTGTAACTGTCGCCCACTGCGCCTGCCGCATGTACTTGATTCAGCTATGTCCTAAGCGCAGAATGATTCGACTCAAGCTTGATTTCTGAAATGCAATGTCAAATCATTGAGAACATGAATACAGACGAGCCTAAACAACAAGCTGCACCGCTGACGGCGCCCCAAGTCTGCGAGATTTTCCTCATGTTACGTCAGAAACGTTTGGTTGGAAAGCTTACGAGCTAAATCCTCTTTCGAACATTGCCACAGTTCACGGTTTCGGGCTTGGGTTCTGATAGGTTGGCATTTGCCACCTGAATCCTTATTCTGGATCATGCAATAGCAGCTGTCTGTCTCGCCGAGGCACGATCCTTGAAGAACGAAACGTTGTGGTAAAAGGGCTCCAGGGTTGGTGATGTCAGTCAAACGTTAATCTACTTCTCTACACAAATTGCACCATCTACACACGCTCCAAGGCAGCCTTCTGCTTCTGCCTACTTGCAGAAATGTACTCACAACTGCAGCCTCTATCAGACCACCAACTACACACGCTCTAAGGCAGCCTTTCCACGTCAAAATGGCGGCTCAGGAGGTTTCTGCACTCTGGGACGCATCTTCAGAATCCGGTACAGGGCATAAACATGGAGGATTATGACAATGCACAGGACGGACACAACCTTTTTGCGTCTAGCATCGCCCCTTGCAGTCTCCAGTATCAACGGGCAAGAAACAAGTTTCACAGCTGCGTTTTGCCGCTTTGCAGTGTGGTGATGGCCTTGTGGACAGGAGCTTTGACCCACTGCGCCTCCCGCGTGTCCTTGATTCAAGCTATGTCCTAAACGAATACTTCAACGCACGCTCACTTGCAGACGAGCCTACACAACGCTTATCTGCACAAACCCACAATATACGTACACCTTAGGCAGCCTTCTGCTTCCCTGCGCCCCTACTTGCCAAGATGTACTCACAACTGCAGCCTATCAGACCCCAAAATAAAAACCCAGCACGGCTTCTGCGGCAGCTGAGCCGTTTTTTAACGGACCTTTTTGCCACCAGCAAGAAAAACCATGTTTTCATCTTGGAAACCGAAGCGGGCCTGCACCAAGTCAGCCTGAAAACGACCCTGGCCTTGACACAACCCGTGGGTGGCAGCGACCTGCGTCGAAACCCATCGATGACTTCTTGGATTGCGCGATCCGACGTGAGCTCGACCCAGCGTCGACCGCCATGCTTGATTCCCAGGCCGGTCCCTATGCAGCACGGGGTTTCACAGCCTGCCCAACCTCGCCAGAGTTTTGCCTCGCCCTTTTTCCGTGCTCTGCCCCTCAGGCGTCTGCGCATGCCGTTGCCCCTTGCTGCTGCAGCTGGCCGCTGCGCTCGGGGTCTCGACGTCTTGGGAGACCATGTAGCTGGCTGCCCGCGCTCTGGCGTGCTTTGCGCCCGTGGCGGGCCTCTTGAACGGGCAGCTGCCCGTGTGTGCTGCGCCGTTCAACAGCATGTCCTGGTCAGGGACCTCAATGTCGAGCCCTTCCGGCATGACGTGCGCGGGATTGAGGTCATAGCAAACGGCCTCCCTCTCTGGAACGGGGCCCAGGTTGCAGTTGACACCACCTTGGTTGCAACCCTCACGCACTGCAGGAGCTGCCCTCCAGGCCGCGCGCCGGGCCAAGGAGAGAACTTACCCTGAACTTGTCAACTCCGGACGCTGCCACTTTGACGGTGCTGGGCATCGAGGTAAGTGGCAGGTGGAGCGCTGAAGCCGCCGCCTTCGTCCGCCTGCTCGCACAGTGCCGCGCCCGCGCCGCACCAGCCCCCTCGCGGGCAGCATGCACTTCTGCCTTCGCCCTCCGGTGGTCGGCCATCCTGTCCTTTGCAGCTGCTCGTGCGTTCGCATCGAGCCTGCTTGGCCTGCCCCTCGCCGGCACGAGCAATGTCGATGGACATGCTCTGGCCATCAGTGATGTCATGCAGATTGCGCTCCGTCGCAGGCTGAGACTCCCGCTGCTGGCGCCGGCCACTTGTGGTGACCGAGGAGCATCTGGGTGCGGGCAGCATTCGGACGCATTTGGTGACCACGCCTTGGCGTGCCCTCGCACGGGGTTGCTCGCCCGACGTGCAAAAATCGTCGAGAGGGCGTGGTGCCGGATTGCCCGTGAAGCCGTTGGGCCTGAAGGGCATGTGGTGCCCCAGCAATGGCTCGTGCACACCACCGCGCCTGGCGTCGCTGCAGATGACCGCCGTAGGCTCGACCTTGCCCGCGCCGGCGCTGGACGAAGTCATTGCGCGCGCGCCTGCCGACTTCGACAAGCCCGGATGTCAATCGAGCCCGTGACGTGACATCATCAACAACTATATGCTGCTGAGATTTCCATTGCTAGTGATGCGTGCGAAATTTGAAGTGCAACCATTCACTCATATGACGGGTTCAGCGCAGGTGTACTTGCACATACTTGCAGGTCACGTGCGTCGAGCAGAACCTGTATGTTTTTTTTGTTTGTCACGGACCTTTTCTCGCTGTAGGGGCCGACCGAACAGGTCTGGACTTCTCAAGTTTACCAGCTGGCTGTACAGGTGGCTGGTAGCGTTGAAAGGTTGGCAAATCTTCTTTCCGAGAGCATGTCCTGCTGCCAGCCGTTCGGCCCAGCGACCGTGCGTTGCTGCGCTCCCAAGCAGGCGCACATGCAGGGGCATGGCTTGCCGCCATCCCTGCTGACCCTGCCACGACACGTGCGCCTGATCTGATGCACCTTGCGCTCCGGCGCCGCATGCGTTTGCCTCTGCCCATCACACGAGCAAGGTGCGGAGGAGACGGCACGACAGGCTGCCGCGCCCCCGTCGACAATCTTGGAGACCATGCC